TTTTTATAATTGATCAAAGAATGATTACTATCACTAACCAATCATGACCTTAAAAGTTTTAAGATTGCTTACGTTTTTCTTGAGGTTGATTTTAAAAGAGTAGGACTGATTTGTAACCAACCCTGAGGTTCAGGACTTTTCCTTTATAACAAAATAAAATGGGCTTAACGCCATATGCCACCCTCCAACTTGTTTTCATTGTGGGTTTTAGCCCTTCAACGTACAATGTAAGTTATTTAACCCCTAAACTACTCATGTCTTTAGCAATTACTCAGAATTGATAGCAAACGAGCACATGACTCAATGCCCATCTCTGCTCGTTAACTTACACTTATTTTTGGAATCTTCAACAAAATTTGGTAATTAAGAGTAATAAAAGGACATTAAAAATTGAGATGATTAATTTAGAAAGTTGAGAATTCAATTAAAATGTTTTATTTGGAAGTTTTCTTTTTATTTTGGTTACTAAAGTAGAGATTAAACCTCATTTAAAGGGAATGGCAAGAGTTTTACTACATTTATCAATCCAAGTTGAACAATATTTATTCAAACATGGCAATGTCACGACAATAACGTGACGCTTAGTAAGAATAAGTTAACAATTAGAGAGGAGCAATGAGTCATGTGCTCGTCTGCCATCAATTTTGAGACAATTATCAAAAACATGATTATGATTAGTTCATGGGTTAAATAACTTACATTGTATGTTGAGGGGCTAAAACCAGTAATGACAACAAGTTGGAGGGTGGTATAGGGGGTTAAGCCAATGAAATATGCAAAAATGATTTAAGAACCGTTGATCTCCGAGCCGTACAACGTGTAAAGCACCAGATGGAGATATTCCCAAAATCAAGAGGTTCTGATCATTAATCATATCCGGAAAGTCAAGATGAGAAGGCGGGCGCACGAACGCCACGAGCCCAATTCCTGCGAGAAAAAAAAAAAAAAAAAGTATCGAAGGATTTTTTAGACTATGATTGAATATTCAACAAACCCACCTCTTCATTCGCTGCATCTCTCCACATTTTTTTATCCCTGTTCCGTCTGCTCCTCTACTATTCAATTCTTGCAAGAAATAAACAAAAACTTCACCTAATCTCCCCAAACACTCCTGTAGATCTCACTCTCACTCACCCTTTCACCATGGGTATGTCAATCTCAATCACTTTTTGTTGTTTCGATTCCTCTGAGTTTTTTTTTTTTTTTTTTTTTGGTTTCTGAATCTGAATTTGATTTTCTTTTTGAATCTTTCTCCGATCGATTTCAGCTGCCGGAAATCCTTTCAACAACATATTGACGACGCTTGAGAAGCCTGGCGGTGGTCACTTCGGCAAGTACTACAGCTTACCTGCTCTCAATGATTCGAGGATTGGTTAGTCTCTTTTTGCTCAAGTCGTTTTCGATTTTTTTTTTTTCCATTTTTTATCGTTTGGTTGCCGAGAAAGGATAGGAAAAGAAAAGAGAATGATGTTGAGATTTCCACCGATCTGTATTTTTGTTTTTGTTAAGTGCTTGTTCTTAGGATCAGAGTTAATATTTTAGTTTTGTTTTTACTCTTTTTGTGTATTCTTATGCAATCAAACAAGTAGAGGTTCATATATTTTGGTTGATTTGAGATTGGTGTGTTTGTGTTTGCAGATAGACTTCCGTACTCTATTAGGATTCTTCTTGAATCTGCTATTCGCAACTGCGATGAGTTTCAAGTTAAGAGTAAAGATGTCGAGAAGATTATTGACTGGGAGAATACATCTCCTAAACAGGTTGAGATTCCATTCAAGCCTGCCAGAGTGCTGCTTCAGGTGAGCTATATCTGAACTTTGGAGAAGCAATTTTCTTTCACTCAAGAATTTATAAGTGTAATGTGAACCTTGGTTGCTTGCTTTATGACAAATTTGTTTGTTCTCCCATTCTTTAGGATTTCACTGGTGTTCCAGCCGTTGTTGATCTCGCCTGTATGCGAGATGCTATGAATAAGCTCGGCGGTGATTCCAATAAGATTAACCCACTGGTGAGCTGTATGCTTTGCTTTATGGATGCTATTGACCTAATCAGATAATATTTTTTATTAGTGTTTTAATATTTTATTGCATGGTTGAAGTGTTTTAATTCTTTGATTTTTGGCAACATTATTTTTGCCTTTTTACAGGTACCTGTTGATCTTGTTATTGATCACTCAGTTCAGGTTGACGTGGCCAGATCAGAAAATGCAGTGCGGGCAAACATGGAACTTGAATTCCAGCGAAACAAAGAAAGATTTGCCTTTCTCAAATGGGGATCAAATGCATTCCACAACATGCTTGTTGTACCTCCTGGATCAGGAATTGTCCACCAGGTAATTGTGGTCCATGATCAGAACATAGTTATAGCACCAAAGCTGAATATCTCTAAACTCAGTAACAAAACAAACACATATATATAGTTCCTTGAGTTATACTGTTAAATCTGGGAATTTGACTTGCAGGTCAATTTAGAATACCTTGCACGAGTTGTATTCAATACGAATGGCATACTCTACCCAGATAGTGTTGTTGGGACAGATTCACATACAACCATGATTGATGGATTGGGTGTTGCTGGCTGGGGAGTCGGTGGCATAGAAGCCGAAGCTGCCATGCTTGGCCAGGTAAAACTATTGAGTATGACACTAGTTTCAGTTATTACCAAATTTTAGTACTTACCAAGTTGCCAGCAGGAAAAGAAATAGACAATAGAATAGCTATAAGCGTGGAACTCTACCTCATTATCTATACTTTTTGGTATCATAGAAAGGAATAATGCTGTAATGAAGTTTCCTATTGGATACCTTTTATTTTTCCTTCATATTTTTCTGAAAAGGTTGGAATACCTAAGACTAAGAGACATAGCTCAATGAAATTTAAGTTTCTGATAGTGCTGTTTCCTATAAAAAATCAATTAACATTTTCCTTTTATGATGCAGCCAATGAGCATGGTCTTGCCTGGTGTTGTTGGGTTTAAACTATCAGGAAAATTAAGGGATGGTGTGACTGCTACTGACTTGGTGTTGACAGTTACTCAAATGTTGAGGAAGCATGGGGTGGTTGGCAAGTTTGTGGAATTCTATGGTATGATTTCCAGAATATTTAATGTCTCTACGAATCCACCTTCTTCTTTTGCTGCACCGGCACCTCATACTTGATGCTGGATTGTCTACTCTTCTATCGCAGGGCAAGGCATGAGTGAACTGTCATTGGCAGACCGTGCTACCATTGCTAATATGTCTCCTGAATATGGTGCAACCATGGGTTTCTTTCCTGTGGATCATGTCACTCTGCAATATCTTAGATTGACTGGCAGAAATGATGAGACAGTAAGTCATTTGTGCATTTGAGATTTATTTCATTTAATGTGCTAAGCTATGATAAACTGACTTCTGAACCAAAAATATAGATTTCCATGATAGAATCCTATTTACGGGCAAATAAGATGTTCATTGACTACAGTGAGGTAAGTCAAGTGTTTTAATCCATTCTGCATTTCATTCAAGAGACATGTTCAATCTGACTAATACTTTGTACTGAACTCAGCCTCAGAGTGAGAAAGTGTATTCTTCCTACCTGGAATTGAATCTTGAGTGTGTTGACCCTTCTGTGTCAGGGCCCAAGAGGTAAAAATTTCTGCATGTGCCAAAACTTCAATTCTTTCTTAACATGCAAACCTAAGTTTCAAATCTATTGTTCCATCAATTTACTTCTCACAATTTGTCACATTTTCAGGCCACATGATCGAGTTTCTTTGAGAGAAATGAAAGCTGATTGGCATGCATGCTTAGACAATAAAGTTGGATTCAAGGTTAGGACCTTAACATGTAAGAAGTTGAAATGGTCCAAGACTTTTGGCATAAATGGATGGGGAAATTAGGAGTTCAATTTATTTCAATTTATTTCACTTTTAGTCTTAGACAAAGATGTTGGAATGCTTATTTGACTGCTGCATTAGACCTCGCAACTTCCAGCACATTATGATCAGTCCTGAATTTTGTCTATCATATCATGATAAGAGCTGGAAGGAGTATGTTAATTCCTTCATGGTATCCCATCTCTTTCACTCTCTCACATTCTTTGCCTGCATCATGGTGTGACAGGGATTTGCCATACCAAAAGAATCTCAGAATAAGGTTGCTGAGTTCAATTTTCATGGGACTCAAGCGCAACTGAGGCATGGAGATGTTGTTATCGCTGCCATAACTAGTTGCACAAATACCTCAAATCCTAGCGTGATGCTTGGAGCTGCTTTGGTTGCCAAAAAGGCTTGTGAATTAGGCTTGGAGGTTAGAATTCTTTCTTACACTTTTTTATGTCTATTTTTATTTATTCTCTTCCTTAGACTAGTAAATAACAAGATTAATCTAGTTTCCAACATCAAAAAGGGATGAGTGATGTAGCAGTCTGGCTTTTGTTTTTAGCCACTTGGATTGTTCTGTCTTACATTCGGGTACTTTTTCAGCACAATGACTCTGGCAGTTTATAAGAACCACCTCCTCCCCAATTAATTTAATGACTTTGGGGATTTTTCTATGTTAGGGCAGTCTCTTTAAGAGGGCTAAGAGTAGTGTACAAAATTTTGTGGCTGCTTAATACTTTTACTATTGTAAATCATGTAATGGAGAGCTAATCCTTGTTTGGTTTACTTTATAAAATGTTGTTTTGACTGATAGTTGCAAGGCCATCTCCTCAGTCAGAATGATGGTACAGACAGATTTTGTTAGCATTGAACCTGTTTGTCGCATAAGTATATTGCGTTTTATAAGTGATGGTATGTCTTTATCAGGTAAAGCCATGGGTTAAGACAAGTCTTGCACCAGGTTCTGGGGTTGTGACCAAATACTTGCAGAAAAGGTAATTCCAATAAAGCTGTAGTGATTACCTACAAAACCTATATTTTTTGGTACACATTCCTGAGTCAGGCATTTCATTGCAGTGGCTTGCAGAAGTACTTGAATCAGCTTGGATTTCATATAGTTGGATATGGATGTACTACATGCATTGGGAATTCAGGAGATATTAATGAAGCAGTGGCATCAGCTATTACTGAAAATGGTAAATTTCTTGTTGCCACTGTTACCTTTGGAGACTTAACATGAGAGTGCCTAAAAGTGACATGGTTTCCATTTTGTAACCTTTTCCAGATATGGTTGCTGCAGCTGTTTTGTCAGGAAACAGAAACTTCGAGGGACGTGTACATCCTTTGACGAGGGCTAATTATCTTGCTTCTCCTCCCCTAGTGGTTGCCTATGCTCTTGCTGGCACAGTATGTAGCTTGTTATAGTCATGACAAGTAACTTTCTGTTATGGCAATTGTTCTGTATGCTACATGTGATGTCTTCCAGTTGCCATATCTTACTACTTTTATATATATACATATCTATATATATATATATAAAATAAAGCTTGGCATTAGTTATATTTCTCATCAGAAGCAATATTTCAGGTAGATATTGATTTCGAAACAGAGCCCATTGGGACCAGAAAAGATGGGAAAAAGATCTTTTTCAGGGATATTTGGCCAACTACTGAAGAAGTAGCTCATGTAAGATAGAGATACTCTGCTTTCTTTATTTTGGCTTCTAGATGTTTGGCTAAAAGATTAGGGATTGACACTGTTTCTTATTTTCATATTTGTTTAGGTTGTTCAATCAAGTGTGCTGCCTGATATGTTTAAAGCTACATATGAAGCAATCACCCAAGGAAATCCCATGTGGAACCAGTTATCTGTACCTTCCAGTACTCTCTATGCTTGGGACCCAACATCAACTTATATACATGAACCACCATACTTTAAATACATGAGCATGTCTCCTCCAGGCCCCCATGGGGTAAAGGATGCTTACTGCTTGCTTAACTTTGGAGATAGTATTACTACCGATCACATCTCACCAGCTGGGAGCATCCACAAAGACAGCCCTGCAGCCAAGTACCTCATGGAACGAGGGGTGGACAGAAGAGATTTCAACTCTTATGGTAGTCGCCGTGGTAATGATGAGATTATGGCTAGGGGCACCTTTGCAAACATTCGTCTTGTCAACAAGCTATTGAAAGGAGAAGTTGGACCTAAAACAATTCATATTCCTAGTGGAGAGAAGTTATCTGTGTTTGATGCTGCACTGGTAAATTTTCTAAACTTGTTAGACACTTGTCTCTTTACCCATAAAATATTTAATTTCTATGGAACTCTGAAAATAGCCTGGATCCTGAATTAGAAAACCCAAAACAAAAACAGAATTAGCAGCCTCCTATCTTCTTGCTGGAAAAAGCAACCTTCTATCTTAAACAAGCAGAGTCTTAAGAACATTTATCTTATGTCCTAAACTTTATGGGTCCTGAATGAAATCCAACTTAAAAAATAAAAAAAAAAACACCATAACTTAGTTTTCTTGATATATTATATTGACTTGTCAGAGTGGATGATTGCGACATGAACCCTATCCTTCTCCAATAAAGTGGACATCCTTAAGATTTGTTCAAGTGCTTGATCCAACTGCGATTATTATCTTTTCTTTTTTTTTCCTTCTATGATCTGTAATGTTTTTTCGTTGCAATTATTTTACCATCAGAGGTACAAGAGTGAAGGGCAAGACACCATAATTTTGGCAGGTGCTGAATATGGGAGTGGAAGTTCTCGTGACTGGGCTGCCAAGGGTCCAATGCTGCTGGTATGCAATTCGATAGCCGTTCTTCTTTTTCTCCCCTTTCTGAATCTAACATGTAACATATCATTTCATTCATTTTCTTTGTACTTCTCTTGCCATAAACTGTATTCAGGGTGTAAAAGCAGTAATTGCAAAGAGTTTTGAGCGAATTCACCGTAGCAACTTGGTTGGAATGGGTGTCATTCCACTGTGTTTCAAGCCTGGTGATGATGCAGAGACTCTTGGCCTAACTGGTCATGAGCGCTACACTATTGATCTTCCAGGCAATGTCAATGAAATTAGACCAGGCCAAGATGTCACCGTGGCCACAGACAATGGCAAGTCATTCACCTGTACAATAAGATTTGATACAGAGGTAATGAAATTAGTCACGCTTTTTCCTTGTGACTTTTTGTATGGCTCTATTTTCTCGCGAAAGCTCGTCATATCCTGCCCACTAAAGCATGTGTCTTGGATGCAGGTGGAATTGGCTTATTTTAATCATGGAGGCATTCTGCAATATGTCATCAGGAACTTAATTAATGCAAAACAGTAATTTGGCAAAGAACTCATTTTCTTCAGGGTGGAGGTTTGCGGCTACTCATCTTTAGCCTCGCAAAGCAGATGGGATGACAACTACATCAAAGTTTATGAATAAATTAAAAACTTGGGATGGGGAATATATGTGTCGGCAGGAGAGCTAAACTGAACATGTTCTTTGTTTTCCTCTGCCACTCGTTTTCCCAATTGATGAAAACAGACGTAAAGAACATCTCAATTTTCAGCTGAATGACCATGGTTCTTATGATGTGGGAATTTTCTTTTGTTCGTGGGTTGCATTTATGCTTTTCCTTCAGTCCATGAATATTGGTTATTGTTAGGTCCAAGTCCCCTTATCCCATGCAATTTTGTTCATCCAGACACATTGCTTCGTAATTCTTGACTGCTGCAAAAATATGGGTTAATTGAATTCTGTCGCCAATGTCATGTTAATGTCACTGGCAAATGGCCCTGGGTTCATGGAGGATAATCTTCAATCAGTCCAGATAGTGGCCTGTTCAGGGCTCAACAAGATGCAAAAATAAGCCCCCATGATTTTATTTTCAAAAAATTGGGAGAAAAAAAAAAAACACTGACTAATCCATGGAGACAGTAACTGAATGTTACCTAAAAAGGGACATTGCAAAGCTATGTATGAAATTAAAAGAACACTGATATATTGAATAAACACTTTCCGCCCTTCCAATAGGTACAAGAATATCATTTCTCAAGTCTTGACAATAAGTTAATAAGTAATGCGTTCTAGGCCACATGGTAAGATTACCAGTAAAATTTCAACGTTTTATTCTCTTAGGGGAAGTATCATATGCAAGGGATCTCGTTTAAGAAGAATGGAAAGAAAATGAAAAGAAAGAAGGTTGGGACAGCGGTGCAAGCTAGAGAGAGGACAACGATACATCAAAATCTATGCAGGGAGGCACTGAGCTGTTGACCACTTGAATAGCAATGGTAGCAGAGTTCTCACTAGATGTTTGAAAGTACAATCATTATCATCCTGTCAAAAGAAGACTATAAATGTCAGGACGTGCTATTGAATTAGAGTTTAAAGTCTGAATCCAAAATCCTATTTCATAACTTCATTTTTATCAGTTTCAAGATTCAACATAAACAAAAAATGGTTATTATATTATGTAGACTTGACTTTATGACAGTTATTTGCGGCAGCAATGCCACAATGTTGGCCCAAATACTACATTAAAAATGCTCCTCTTAAGGGCAGCTTGTTATAACTAAACATTATAAGCAATACTGATTATGTACCTGAATGAAATACATCTAAAAGTTATTAACTCGGTACAGAAAATACCTCTTTAACTTTAGTTTAAACCTTATACTCATTCACACGCATCCACTTGGTAGATGACCACTTATTCCCTTTAATCACCGGGCAGCCAGCTGGGGCATGACATATGGTAAATTTGTCAGATGACTTACAGGATGGCCAAAAAAAGGGTTGGGGGAACTTAAATTTTCAATCAAGGAACGTAACACATGGAAGCTAGGTAATTAGCAACAATAACTAACCATGCAAACTTGAAGGATCCAGAGATGCATCAGGCTTCATGCTCCAGAAAAGTAAAGCATCCCCCATCTTTGGTTTGACAGAAAGTCCATTCTTTCCACATTCAGATAATTCATCCCACCAAGGCACTGCACTGAAGTTCCCCTTGGCAGCAGGAAACACTGTCTCCCCACCTTCTTCAATGTCTGAGCTGTAAAGCCATAAAATAGCAAAACATTACAGAAGGAACAAATGGAGATTTACATATTATGAAGTAGCATATAAAATACTTAGCAAGCAGAGTTGTGTCACCCACAGGTACATAAGGACTGTAGCTATGCGTTGGCCCCCATTCCTAGTATTGAACTCATCCATGAAGTAGTCAAAGTGAGGTTCATATTTTTGTCCAACTTCATAGTGGAGAATTTGAAGCCCTTCACCATGCTCTGCAAAATATTGTGTTCACTTGAGTAACAGTTACGACACGTAGTGCATAAAATCTAAAACTAATGGGAGAAGGTGTAAAAGAAAGACAAATAGATTGATGAAGTTGATTGGCCCCCCTTTAGTTTTTAAAGTTTGCAACACAATACATTTAAGAAAGTATTACTCAATTAATTCTATGGCACTTAAAAAGTGTCATGATGGTTGTCCAAAATCACAAACAACTCTTTAAGATGTTAGATAGGAGAATATACCAACTGGTATGAAGGTAAAATCTGCTATCCTTTTCTCAATGTCCCGAATAATTTTGTCGCGTCCTCTTTGCAGAAAAGTACCAGAGCTTGTACGCACCCTGCATGTGAAAATTGCATTAAGGGTCTAACATATAGGCAAGAAACTAGAAAATCAATGAACAAATTCCACAACTAACTTAAATTGTTAAATATCCCAAAAGACGGATGCTAGAAAGACATCACACCTGCTATCTGTACTCTTGCCAGTTTCACTATCAACTACAGTTGATTTCTGCATATGAGGCTTGGCAAGATTGATTAGGTACTCACACTCCTCCTTGGACTGCCAAAATTCCGAATCAAAATCTTATAATTAGCATGGATATGAATTCTTTCAAACAGAAAGCTAAATACTTGCATTCAGGTCGGATTTACTTATCAATCCATATTCCCCACCCTTTTTTTTTCTGTTTTACATAATCCACAAAGAAAATCATAAATTACAGAAGCTAGGGAAGAAGGCATACAAACGTGAGAATTAAGTAACAGAGGAAAAAGGAATCAAATCAAGCAAAAGGCAATAAAAAAACCATAAAAAAAAGCTCGATTTCTCACCAAAAAATTGTGATAAACAAAAGCTCTAGGCTCCCATGAGATTACTTCAACCCACTGCTCTCCTCTCCCTTCTTCTTCTTCTTCTTCTTCACTTCTGCAATTAAAAACCGCCTAAATAACCAAATCGCCACCGGAAAATTAAAACGGTATAACTAAATCCACAATCACCAACCTCTCTATAGTTTTGCGCGCAATCGAGTTCAAATCGTGCGCTTTGGGGGAATCGTTGGAGCTGCTAGGAATCGAGAGGATGCCGAACCCAAGGAGAATCAAAATCACGAAAGTGAACATGATAAGCATGGTGAAAACCAGTGTCGAAGAAGACGACTTCCGAGATGCAACGCGCGAATTCCTCTGCTTCACCATTGCTGCTTTAGATTTTAGATCTGGAGCTGAAACTGGTACGTTCTTCTGACTCGGTTACGAGTTTGAGAAACTGGATGGAAGGCGCCTCCTCGTCTTAATTTCTTTTATTCTTATTATTATTATTATTCCTAAGCATAATTACTTTACATGACTTAATAAGAGATTATACTAACATTATCTTTTCTTTTCTTTCTTTTTTTCTTTTTTTTTCATAAAAACTTATTGTTATTATTATTATTATTAGACACAACCCATATTTTTAACACTCCAAATCTTTACAGGTAAAAGTAAAAAGGTTTACCCACAGATAGGCATTGATTAGGTGATAGAAGTTTGATTATTTTAAATAAATTTTTGAATTTAACTTTCATAAATAAAAAATAAATGTTAAAATTTTTTTTATACGTTTAACATGTTTTGATTTCAGATTAATTGATATCTAGTATAGTATATAGTTGCCGAATATCAAGAAATTAATCAAAAAAATAATCAAAAAAAATTTTAAATCAAAATATAAGTGAATTTTAGAGATAAAAAAAAGGTTATTTTTTACTGTTATATATATAATAGATTTTTTTTTTGACTTTTCTAAGAATATATTGGTTGGTTATAATGAAAGGCTGGTTTGCAAATTAATGTGGAAGAGGGGCTTAATAATTAAGGCGTTTGAGTCTAATTGGACAAATTGATTTCATTAAATTGTTTAGAAAATTTTCAACAACTCTAGTATTTGAGCTGCAAACATTCATATATATTTTATAAGGAACAATTTTCAACTATTTTGAGTATTAAATATCATAATAGGCGATTATTTAATATTCTTGACTTGAAATTATCTATATTTATATACAGAAAATAATACATGCATGACCTTAGGGTTTTGTACCTTAAACTGTGCAAGATTGATTTGTATATTTACTTTATTCTGCATTTAAGCTTATAACTCAATTGATAAATTTCATATTTACCTGACACCATAAGAAATCAATATCCCCTTGATCCAGAGATGTTTAGAAATTTCTTGTGTGTTAATTAATGTATTTTCATATTGAGGATCTGGTGTGTGAAAAAGAAAGGAGTTCCCTCAATGAATCTTAGCTATAGATGTTGATGAGTAGCAAGGTTTTTCATGTTTGTTTGTAGAAGAAAGGCAACACCAGTTGCATTTGAAATTCTCCTTTTGAGTAACATTGGTCAGAGAATTTGTACACTATGCAGTTTTAAAGTCCTTATAGTGGAACAACTAGCAGATTACACTTCAAACTCAAGATACCTGAAATGGATTGTTTTCTATTTTATTTTACACCCTCAAATAAATATTTGCTGGTAGATTTAATGGAAAAACACATGCCTCAATGGGACATAACAATCAACTTTCAGACACCAACAAGTGAACAGGATCAATCAAAACAGCTTCAGTGATCTTAAAAGACACCAAGAGATGTGGGATACAGAGGAGCAGGTTTATATGTGAAACAATTCGGAACATAAGCAGTGGCTTGTCTTTTGGGAGGATCCATGGACTCAGTTGGCGGTTGGTTTAGGTATGCATACTTGCTCTTCTTCCACCTGCTCATAGGAAAAGTGATCAGTTGGAGTTCAAAAATCAAGATCCCTGTGATTTCCCAAGATACAACAAAAATTTAGTTTACATCTTGATTATACTAGAGAGATTTTGAATAAAATTAAACTAACCAGTCCCTTATTCCCACGCGAATTTCATTACTCCTTTTGTCCCTTCTACTGTCATCCATGGAGACACTGTTTTTCTCCTTGGTGTCATTGTCATCTTCATTCAGTGACTCTTCAAAATGCCCGTATTCTTCCTCCTATAGACACCATGAACCTCAAGCAGTCAGAGTAGAATGTAAGGGCATTCATTTGTCTAGGCATGTTTAAAACTTACCATGATATGAAGCTGTAGACTTTTAGGAAGCTTCTTGATAGTAGAACAACAAGAATCACATAATGCAGAAACGTTTACTTTGTAAAACTTAGTTTACCAAATACCAACCCATCTCACCATATTTTAAGGTGGTTAGGTATTAATCAACTTGTGAAATGTTACTAGATCAGATAAAAATAATAAGAAGTTTGGTGCTCAATCATTTTTTAATCGATTGCAACTTTCCTCTTCTAACAGACAACTTAAATCATTGTAAAGAAACCATGACATGATTAAGTTTGCTGACTCTTAATTGACAAATTTGTTCAATTATGTGGAGTAAGGAACTTCATCACAAAGCTAAAATGTGCATTTCTTACAGTGAAATTGCGGGCCCTTAAGCGGGCTGCAGCCTTGATCGCAGCAAAGAGGTGATCTTCTTCCTCAAAACGCTTCTGCCTCCAGAACTTGGCAATCTCTCTGTTGGTCACACTGACTTCAACCTTCTTCCCCACCCAGGATCTTGGAAGTAGTGGTGGAGGAGGTGGTGGTGCTGGAATTGCCTGCTTAGGCCTGGCAGCAAGACTTTCCATCTCTGCCTTACTTTGTTTCATATTCATAAAACCCCTTTTTGGCTGATCCTCTAGTTCACTTTATCAGCAAAACAGAATTCAAATGGATTAGCAAAATACTAGGAGACAGCATCATCCAAACTATCAATCAAGGGCAACAACACTCTTCACCAAACTCCCCTGAACTACCAATCCAACCTAACTTTCAACTAAGCAATGGAATGACTGGTGTCCTTGGTTATATAACTCAGGAAAGTCAGCAGAATATAGAGCAGAATACAGAGTCAAACATGTACAGACAAAGTGATATTTGGTAGATGAAATTTCGTGGCAACAAGAAGGTAATTTAAAATTCCAGAATAAAATAAACAAAAGTTAGGCAGCTATGTAAAAGCAAATACATAAAGGTAGCGAAAGGGTAAACCTTTATTATCATAAATTCAGATGAAATTTACAAAAAGTACCTGCATCTATATAAAGCATAAAACTTTGATTCCCAAAACAAGGTATGAATCATACCCATAACAACTAATTACAAACCCAGAAACCATAATCGCAGAACCTTAAGTTTCTGAGGTGATTCGAAGCGCCTTGATCTTGAACCTATACCTAGGAGCCCTGGGGATAACCTGGCTAGGGCCAAAATGGAACTGCCCGGGACTGTCTGTGAGGGGAGGTCCGTCATCATACACATAACCCACCAATTTTCCGCAACTAGTGCACTTTATCTTGGTCCTTTTCCGCTGGATTCCCCAATAATTGACAGTTTCGAAGAAGGGCATGATCTTGTCCTCTTTCTCGAGTTTGAATTTGGTAGCGTCGATGGAAGCGAAGGAAAGGGTGTCTTTGTTACCCGCCTCGAAGTAGAAGTCCGGCGGGAAGAGGTGGGCGGTGCTCAGGTTTAGGTTTGCACCGCATTCTTTGCAGCAGTAGATGGAAGCCATTGTCGAATCTCGAATCTCGAATCGGGTCGTATGTAACCAGAGATCTGGCTTTTGAGGATTGTGGCGATTGGCGTTCACGAGACGAAAGTAGGGAGAAATTCCCACACCGCCTTGCCGTTCGAATAATGTCGTTGACTCATAAATGCTTAAAGCGAAGCAGCTGAATTACTAATTTACCAATATGCAAATAATTGAGCTTAATTTAAGAATTTATTAAATTGAGGGTGTAATTAATATTTTTT